GCCCCAGAAATTTCCTTTTTTTCTGATATGAGAAAAAATTAAAACATTTTTTTGACTAAGATTTAGTTTTTCTCTTCTGGTTTTAAAATAAATTAAAACATTTTCCAAGCTCCTAAATGCTTTTGGACCCCAGACTCTGCCCCCCACTGTGCCGCATTGGTAAGTATTCTGGTCCCGGGCAAAGGAGAAAGCTTCAGCCTGTGGCGCAGGGCATAGGGCTGTTGAGGGAGGGACGAGCCTCAATCTCAGAGCAAAGCAAACCTGACTGGAGCCGGCATTTGGCAAAAGTGTCTTCAGTTTACCAATGCCCGACTCTGATGACTACTTATTTGCTTTTCTTCTACACTTTAGAATAAGAAACAGTGAACGAGAGTCTAAGAGTCTGCTTTCATTTTCAATTCTATTTAGTTGTGTGAAGTTGAGCAGGTTCTTTACCTCAGTGTTATAAATGTGCAAAATGAACCAAGTTGGACTAGATATTAATTCTCTAGCTATAGTTTATGCCTTATATACTTCTTAAGTATTGCTAGAAAAAAGTCACAGAGACACAGATGAAAGCATGCATAAAGGGAGAAGGTATACTTAGGTCAGGGCCCAGAAGTAAGTTATTTACTGCAGTACGATATTAACTTCAGCTCTGAGTTTGTTGGCATCGGAGAAATATAGAATTGTTGTCTTCTTTTTTGAAGAAGGTTATTGAGAAATGTGACCTGGGCAATTAGAGGCCCCTCAGCCCCTTCTCGGTGTTTGGGATGACATTCTGCCTACTGTTCCCACAGTGGGAGCTGTTTTCAAGGATGAGACTTTGAGAGAGTGATGTGTTGTTGAGAACATCTGGGTGGTGAACGTATCTGAACCCAGTCCAGGCCTCTTAACAGCTTACATAAACTGTTAATATTCCAGTGGAGAAATCTACTCATTTTGTGGTCTTACAAGACAAGCCTCCTGTATAAGTTCCCTTGCTGATGAACCTGTCACCTACCGATCTGGAGTGGTCTGCCCCCTTGTGATCTGTCCTTGTCCTCTGTGGAGGGCCAATTTCGGATTTCACCCAGGAAGCTCCTGAGTTTGCGAACTAACACATTTATTCAGACATTTTATTTTTTATTACAAAAGCAGCACGCACATATTTTATTTTTATTTTATTTTATTTTTTTAAATTTTATTTTATTTATTTTTTCTTTTTTTTATTGATTATGCTGTTACAGTTGTTCTATTCCCCCTTTATTCCCCTCCACCCTACCCCCCATCCCCACCATTACCCCCCTTTAGTTTATGACTATGTGTCTCAAGTCCTTTAGATTCTATATTTCCCATGCTATTCTTGCCACCCCCTCATCTATTTTCTATCTACTGTCTATGCTACTTATTTTCTGTACCTTCTCCCCCCTTCTCCTCCTCCCACTCCCCTGTTGCTAACCCTCCATGTGATCTTCATTTCTATGTTTCCACTCCTGATCTAGCTGTCCTTTTAGTTTGCTTTCGTTTTAGGTGTGGTTGTTAATAACTGTGAGTTTGCTGTCCTTTCACTGTTCATGTTTCTTTAACTTCTTTTTCTTAGATAAGTCCCTTTAACGTTTCATATAATAAGGGCTTGGTGATGATGAACTCCTTGAATTTGATTATTTTATTTTTTTAAAGCAAACATTCACTTACAATCCAACTACCTCAGTAAATCTCAACATTCCCCTTCTAGTGTTTACCACTGTAAAAATTATTCAAATCATCATTACCAGAGGAGACTTTTTTGCCTTTTTTTCCATTTAGGAAGATGCGTCTTTACCCCCATGCTGCGGCACCTGCCCACATTATTTTAAGCATCTACACAATATCGGTTGGATAGACTTAGTAATTTCTCGGCTGTTAGGTGTTTGTTTATTTAGTTGGTTTCCAATTTTTCATTACTACCCACAGTAAGCAATATTGCAGTCTTTTCTTTCTTTAGGATAATTTTCATTACATGAATTCCCTGGAATGAGAAAATTTGGTGAAAAAGTGTGTTTTTTGCCATTGGTACGCTTTTAGTATTTGAATGTATATAGTCTATTTGCACAGCAATAGAAAGGCACATTTTATGGAATTGGGAATAAACATCGTCTGGGCAGGTGGCGATGAGGAATGGAGTGGGCTGCTGAGGCGCATGGTGCTCCCCTGTTATGGGGGAGGTTCTCCGCACAGTTACACGGCCTTGAAAAGATGTCCTCAAGACTGGAATAGAGCTGGAATAATTTTGGATTGAAGGGACTGAATTCAACTTTCCCACTAGTCACGGCCCTAAGAATTTAACTGGAGCCGAATTTCCTCCTTTCCTGGATCTCAGACAGCTCAATCTCAAAGTGCTCTGCTCCCCTTCAACTGTTTCCAGAGAAGACAGCCTGAGGGAGAGGAAGTGGTGCTAATTAAATCCTCCCTCTGTTTTCCAGGCACAGGAGTCTTTCGCAGATGTCTGTTGTTAGGCCTGTGTTCACAGAGTGCAGCAAATACAGAAGCAGGCTTTCCTTCCCCAAAGGCACAAACCTTCCTTCACAGGTTACAGGGAACTCTAGAAATGTACTTCCTTCCAACACCCCTTCGTGCAGAGGTGGCAGACCCGAACAAAGACAGCAAGTAACTGCCAGGGGGCCATGTCTCACTAATTTTTCTCTCTCTCAGTTTCTTTTCCTTCTCCTCTTCCTCTCCATCTCCTCCTCCCGCTCCTCCTTCTTCATCTTCTTTCTCATTCTCTCTCTCTCTCACACCCACACACACATAAACAATTTTTTCTACTTCTTCATGTGTGCTTTGTATTTCTCAAAAGCCTGTTTTACCTAATGTCTGTCTTTTGTACAACTAACTTAAAATTACCTGAAAATCCAGCAAATATCCCCCTGTTGTAAAGTAGCATGCATCATGGTGGGCAAGCTAGGCTTAAAGCATGTTTGGGGGTCCCGGGTGAGAGTCCTGGTGTTGCCGTAATTATCCAAGTGTTGCTGGAATTATCCAACCCTGTGCTCCCCAGAGACATGGAGATGAAATTATCCTCTCATGCCGGCTGGGTGGATCAGAGGAGATTACCTGTGATGTTATCTGCAGAGAATTTTTCACTCAGGAGTTTTAGCCAACTCTGTTTTCTCCTACCTTCAAACCCCTCAGGGTTTGATTATCCACAGTTGTCTGAAATAATCCGTGTTCTCCCATAATAATGACATAATTGTTTTTTAGATGTTATACATATTCTTTTAGAAAATATATTATTTATTTATTTTTAGAGAGTGGGGAAGGGAGGGAGAGAGCAAGAGAAACATCAATGGGTGGTTGCCTTTCTCATGTTCCCTACTGGGGACCTGGCCCACAACCCAGATATGTGCCTTGACTGGGAATTGAACCAGTAACCCTTGGGTTTGCAGGCCAGCATTCAATCCACTGAGCCATACCAGCCAGGGCCATACTGGCATATTATTAATAACATTCATTTTATCTCAAAAGTGTCTGGGTTTAGGCAACAAATTATACGGTCATACTATTTTCATCTTTCTTGAATACTCTAATTAATCCCAATTTCAAGAATGTAAACTTGCTGGCAATAGGGGCTGTTTCTCATTTTTCTGGTATTTCACAAGAACCAAGGAAATCACGCTTGTCTGACTGAGAACAGTGAGGCATCCCTGGGAGTAGGGGGACACTCGCAGCCGGCGGCGAAGCTGCTGCGAGACTCTCCTTCCGCGGGGCGTCGGCAGTAGTGTGCTCACTCCGGGGATGAGTGCGTGGCCTCGGGAGCAAAATGGTTAGCGTGCACCTCCTGTTTTCTTTGTGGTGCTTTGTATTTACAAAATAAGGGTACATTTATTGTGTTTTTATTTACTTTAGGTCCCATACAGGGATGGGCAAAACTAGTTTTACAGTTAATTTTTGTATTATTTTTAATTATTGTAGTATTTGTTTGTCTTTTCCCATATACACAACTGTAAACCTAATTTTGCCCATCCCCATGTGATCATTTTAAACACTAAAGACTTATCAAAACAGAAAATAAAAATGATTCATAATCCTATCGTCCAGAGATAATCATTGTTAATATTTCATTTTACTTCTTTTTAGACTTTTTCAGATATCCCTTATGTCATATGTGTGTATGTGCCCAAGTATTCTCTCTTTATTAGTTTTTCTTTTTTTAGTTCTCTCTCTCTTCCTTGCTCTCTGAAATATTTTACCAATTTGAATAACATTATTCATAATATGACTTACTTTTCTCATTAACAATATATTTTGGACATTTTTCCATGATAAAAGTATATGCTTACATTTTCAATGACTATACTGTATTTCACAGCATGGTATAATATATCTTATTTAGCCAATTCCCTACTAATAGTACTTAGTTTCACTATAATTTTTTTTCAGTATTAGATACAATATTGTATGTGCACAGCTATTGTAAACAATATTTTGCTATTAGAACTAAAGTTGTATAGTTTTCTATTAGATGATAGATATTGTGATGAACAACCTTCTATATTTATGTCTTTGAGCATTTGTCTAAATTATTTCCTTAGGATACATTTTTAGAATTGCAATGTTTCAGCTAAAAAAAAGTGCTTAGTTTTAACTGCTTTGGAGCCTTATTACTCCCCAAGAAGCACATAAGAAGGTGCATTATCATTGCTTTTAACACAAATAAGCTTGCAGGCTGGTAGGTTTTCAGGCAAAAATGCTATGAAATCTTGAACAAAGTTGCCTGACAATTATTTCACACAGCTCTTTCCTTGTTCACCTTCCTGTCCTGGGGAATTAAAGATGAAAAACAAAAGTCCTACAGCCTCCTTTTCTCTGTCCAGAGAATAGCCCTCCAGGATGGTGGAGTCTAAGTTATGGAATTGTATCCATCCATGCCTATGTTTGCTTAATGTGTGTGTGGGAGTGTCAGTTTCAGAAACATCATTTGCTCATGTACCCATTTCCAAGAGCCAGGTGACCCTTTTTTCCCTTAATTTACAAGAGTTTTTCTTCCCTTGTTTTTTTAGGCCAAAGAAATGTCAACAATTGGGAGTTATGAAGGATTTCAGCCTGTGTCTCTGAAGCAAGAGGGAGATGACCAACCCTTAGAGACTGAGCGACTGTCCATGGAGGAGGGGGACCCAGGCAAGGAACCAGCGCCAAAGCAGATGTCAAGGCAACCAAGTGTGACCAAATCAACACTCTACCCCAACCCTTATCACAGGCCTTATATCACACGGAAGTACTTCGTTACACGGGTAAAATCATTGGTGCTCTTATATGCTACGTAAGAATTTATCCTAATGTCTTCCTATACAATGCATGTTTTACCAAGTGTTTTCACACTTCTTATCTCATATAATAGTGACAATAACTGTGAAGTAGATATCTTTTACAGGTAAAGAATCTGAATTTTGGAGAAGTTAAAAGAGTGTATTTTGGTCACCAGATAGAATCAAGGAGAAGCAGGTCCTCTATTCTCCATGGGTCTTTCCCTCCTCAGTCCTGTGTTTATGCTAAACTGCATTTCAATGAATTAATGTTCTATGAAGAGGGAACCAGAGCAGCTGGAATAGAAAGCTGTGACCTTGAGTGGGTATTTGTTATATTTTGTAAATAGGGGTGGTAGATTGGAAAGGCTTGTTGAGAAGGTGAATGAATGAACCTCAAGGGTCTCCACTGGGATGCTGGTATTACTGTGTGGGAACAGGTATTCTAGGTCTCAACCCTGTAGCTGCAGTGTGGAACTGAGCTGTCTTTCCTATGCATTGGAGCTGGGAAAGTAAATGGATGAGTGGATAATGAGGATGAGGTTGTTTATCTAGAAGAAGAAAAATGGTATTTTAAACTTCTAGCATTTGAATCAGTAGACAGTACTTCATTGGTTTCTAGTACCTAACTCTGTCTTGGACTCTTCATACTTCTTTTCCAATACTTCATTATTCTTCTCAACACAGTAGTGGTTAGTTCATTGGCTACAACAACTGAGGTCAAAATCAGAGATTTCGTATTCTGGAAAAAAGGACCATCTTATTTTTCAAGTGTACATGAGGCCTCTCATTGAAAAAAATGTTTAACTCAATTTCATAAGTTAATTTGGGCTAAGACTCTGGGATTATTTGCAAATCTTTAACTAATGAATCCTGATTTGGTAGCTTTTAAAATATATATTTAGTTAAGATAAAATTTTAACTGAAGCAACTCAGTGCATATGGTGTGCATGTAGGCATGTTGAAGATTACATATACTCATATCACCTATATTTGGTGACTCTTACATACAAGGTTCTTTGGTACGTGTTATATTATGTATTTGTGTGAGTGTTTTGTGTATGCAGAGCATATGGTGTGTTTTCTAAAGTATGTGGACTTGATTAAATATGGCAAGTAAAGTTGTAAGATACAGCTGTGAAGAAAATCAAAGCATCCTCTAAGTTTCATTAATCTTTGATATTGGTGACATGACAGCCTGGGTTTGATGAGAGAAAGACAACCATGAGTGTTATAGAAGAAGGGGTTTATCTTTGGAAACCAGTGCAATTATGAGAACTGGCTGAGAAGTCTATGCAGAGATGCTGTCTCTGTATCTTGTGATGGCCTGAAGTTGCTATAGGTCAACCAACTGTCAGTTGTGAAGTGGGAATAGGAGAAGCAGGTCCTCTATTCTCCATGGGTCTTTCCCTCCTCAGTCCTGTGTTTATGCTAAACTGCATTTCAATGAATTAATGTTCTATGAAGAGGGAACCAGAGCAGCTGGAATAGAAAGCTGTGACCTCGAGTGGGTATTTGTTATATTTTGTAAATAGGGGTGGTAGATTGGAAAGGCTTGTTGAGAATGTGAATGAATGAACCTCTATACAGAATAGAGACAGATTGGATCCTATCTATGTCCCAAGTCTAAACTTGAAGATGTGAATCACTTTCAAGAGAAGCTGGTGCCTTTTTCCACTGACCCAGCCCAGGGGAAGGAGAATCTGAGAGAGATCTGATGAACAAAAAAAAACTATAGGTCTGGGTGCTGCCTTGTGCACAGCCTTGACCAGGAGATCAACAGCTGTGAATATGAGCTGCCCCAGTGCCTGGTGGCCTGTACTGGTCTTCAGTAAGAGAAATGACTGATGTTTCACTTCCAACTTTCAAAGAGCTAGCTAGACTCGGTATCTCCTATCTATTAGTTCAGTGCTCTCCCTGCCATAATGTCAAGTTGAGTTTTGGACTCCTTTATAAGGGTTTTCAATGACTGAGTCTGATCCATGTGATGAACATCTCCATCAGGTGTGTAGAAATAACCCTAAGTTCTCAAGAGTGTGAGAAGTAAAACCTTTGAATCTTATTAATGAATCTAAAGTAGATGTGAGGACTTTTTAGGTGTGCTGAGGGCTATGTTCCAAAGGTACTGAGCATTTATTCTCTTTCAGACCAAGGGATGGAGTATGAAGGGTTCTTTTAGTATGTGAGTATAATAAATGTGCATTAATGCATGTGAGGATAATGAAAATACAACTATTGGCTCAACTAAAACTTATAGTGAGAAATATATTTTTGAATCAATAAAGGAATGACCTAGTTTTACTACCTTGTAAATGACAAATCTGCTGATGTGGTGGGAGTTGAGAAAATGGGGAGAACGTATGTGCGTGCATATAAAAATGCTCTCATCCTCAAAGTGTGGGTAAAATACCAGTTTTATATGAAGTTTTTAATAAGCTAACTTTGTAAGAGTTCTTAGTACAAAGCATGCCACATCTATTAACATTTCATAAGTGGCATCTCATTTTTATTATAAATGCCTTCTCTCTCCTTTTGTTGATTTGACATTTACACTTCTATAATTGGACATACGCAATGAATGACATTAAGTTGACCATGACCTTACCATGGCCTCCAGGGTAAGATATAAATGTAGATGTATAGAATCTGTAGCAGTAAAAAAGTTTGAGTAAAGAAACCTAATTCATTTTCTCAAAGGATAAGTAAATGAGACCAAGGTTCCAAGTGATTCAGATCTATGATAGATTCATCATAAATTACCATTCTTGGAGGTGAAATAAGATCTACAGATCATTTAGCCCAGTGCTGCTTAATCTTTATTGTGAAAACAAATCAATCACCTGAAGATTTTATTAAAATGCTGATTCTGATTCAGTAGGCCTTGAGTGAGGCCTTACATTCTCCATTTATATAAACTGTCTGGCAGTACTCAGTGTCTCTGAGGCCAGAGGTAGATACCCAATGCTACAACAAGAAGGGGAAACAATTATGTGAGTTCCAAGCTGGAAATCTGTGATGTGACTAATATGGAGGCATAAATTAATTCTGGACAAACAAAAGCATCATTTTTAGCATCATAACCTCATGCATTAGATCACACTTCTCAATGCTGGATTCTAAAAGGAGTCCATGTGTCCCTTAAACCTTATGTGTCCTTTTCTGCATCACTCCAAGGTGTTGCTTCCTTCCCTCAGGTTTTCTTTCATTACTTATTTACTGAAACTCTGCCCTTTTGATATAATTTATCAACATTTTTGCTAAGTCAGAAAAGGCCTCTGAGATATCTAATCCAACCCCTGAAACACACCCCTGAAAAGCACATGTGACTTGCCTAAGGTCAACCAAAAACTGAAGGGCTATGCCAAGACTGGATTCTTGACGGTTTCCACCACCCCTCCACTGCATCTCACCTTGGACAATGAATGGGAGGTCACAGTAATGAAGGTCTGAACCACTTGTTCTCAGTCTGCTTGGGTAACCTTTTCCTCCTGTTGTAGTTCATCTGCTATTATTGCTTAGCCCTATCTAAAAAAGGCATAATGCCTTCTCTGAACAAAAGTACCCCTCAAGGCTAATAACTCAAGGTATATTACGATAATCACTTTATTTTGGAGACCCATTCAAAGGCAACTTCTTACGAGAGAAACAATACATGATCTGCATGGTGAAAGATATTTTTAAACTCCCTGAAGGACTCTATATTTGCAGATACCTTATCAGAAACTTGAAAGAGATTAGCGATGGGGAATTATCTCTAAATTTATACTTGAGAATGTAAATTACATATAAACTACTGGGACTAAAACTATTTGATCTTTTAATATTTGATTAATGGTTCCCCATGGCCTTTTTATAGTCTATGTTCTATTGTGAGCAAGGAGACTTTAATAAGCAGGTTGGAGTCTTCCCATTGTGCAGCAAGATGTCGTTGCTTTCATGATTCTAATTAGGGTTTCATATTCCCTCCCCTTCCCTCTTCTCTTACTATAGGGTTCCCTGTGCCTTTCTCTTGCATTACGAACAACTAAATATATTAGTTGTATTATAGTCTGTGTGAGCTTCTTTCTGGTCTAGAAATTATATGTCTCACTGTACAAAAGGTTTCTCAACTTTTCTACTTTCACTAAAATCTGTTGAAAATTATAATAAAGATGTTGTTTTTTCCTAAGGGAAGATAATGAACAATAATAAAATAAGATGCTTTTCCTTCATTTTCAGGGAAAGACACATTTGATTGTACTTTACAAATCACATACATTGTAGAGCTGGTTTTCTTACTGTATATATTTACCACAAAGCAATCTTATCTGGGCATGGTGACATGATGACAGCCACTAGACAGATCTTCCTGTGTCTGAGTCCTTAGGAGCATTTCTTCCTCTCCTAGCCTTTTACTATTTAGTTGAGGCATCTAGTACATGGGGAAAAATCAGCAGCCGATTTGAGTATTGTTTGTGTGACAACTGGCCCCAGGCTAGTCTAGTTTAAGGAAAAGCAAGGACACAAAGGTACATGTCTTTGAAATTCTCTCAGTAGATTTGTTTTCACTGAAGATATTCAGTGCTAGATTATTAGAGAAAATGTGGCCCATTTTGCTATACAGTGACTTAAAAATAAGGATCCCCCAATGTTTTTTTGTTAAAATTTAGAACTAGAAGGATATGTTATATGTTTATTACCTTGATAAGCTTTCTTTTATCACGTGATGAGTACATATTACTTTGTCATTATTTTCTATTAGGCTATAAAGAGTCTCAGAGCTAATTGTTCCATTGCAGTAACCATTTGATCCCCCAATTCTGGTACAACTATTTACCTTCTATTTATATTATTAGTAAGAGAGCAATAATAAAGTCTTTTATTATTTAGTGTCACTAAATGTTTTTGGCATCTCCCAACAGTTTTGCAACTAATATTATCTTATCCACCTAACAAATGATTAAATGGATATATAGAATGAAAAAGTGATTCAATGTGGGTCTCACAGCAAGCAGAAAGGCTGAGATTGATATCTCATCCTCAACACAAGTCAGCTTGTTCACACATTTTTATTTCATTTCCAATATTAAGTGTCTGATGTTAATTTATTATAGCACCAATAACATCATAGATAGTGAGGACTTTTACAGAACTCCAGAGACTTCCGAACCATTTGGTAATAACATACTTAATTTTTACCCATCAAATTCTTTCCCCTGCTTAGAGAACTATTGCTAACATTTTTATATGTCCTTTTAGAGTTACTTTAAGCATATACAAGAAAACACAGATATTTATTTTTATCTGTTCTCCTTTTTACATGAAAGTTGGTATATTTACTCTTCTGAACATTTTTCTTTTACTTAATATTTTGAAATCTTTACATGTTAATGCAAGTTTCATGTTTAAATATATCCAACATATTTCCTTGTATAGATATGCCCCATAATATGTGTAACTAGTCCCCTATTGATAGATGTTTGGGTTGCTTCCAAATTTTTGCTGTCCACAAACAAGACTGCAAAGAATACTTTATACAGGTTGTTGGGCATGTATGCAAAAATATCTATAGTATAACTTCACAGAGGTGAAATGTGTAAATCAAAGACTAGATTATTTTGACAGATTTTACCAATTGCTTTCCATAAAGCCAGGTGAGGTTTTAAAATTTTTTACATTATTATATTCATTTTCAAATATTTTTGACAAAGTGCTTGGCATAAAAGTGTTCAACAAAATACTTGTTGTTTTAGGATTATTTCATTATTCTTCCATTCCTTTTGTATTTTTCCATCAAATTCTATTAGCTGCAGCATAAATTATATGAATATAGGGAGAGAGAGAGGAAGCATCCACATAATGAGTCATCACAGAAAGTATTGTTTTTAGAGAATTTGACAAGTAGGCCTGGTAGAGTCAGGCTGCATTATGGGAAGCTGAAGTTGTGTGACAGAATCGTCATGGGACTGTAGTATATTTCCCTCCATGGTAGTCCATTCCTTCCAGTAGAGTCACTAGAATCTAGAGATGCTGGCTCAACCTCCCCTGTGAGTGGGAGCTCAAGGAATATGCGGTTAATGTCCCAGAATTTACTGATTTTGTGACATGCAGGTTTTAGTAGGCATGGGGTTCCATGTTATCTTTCTGTCAACCTTTAGCAGCAGGGAATGGCAAGAGAGTCAGAAATCATTCAGTCCACTGTCTGACCATCCAATTCAACAGGACACTTATTAAAATCATAGAACCTCCCAGGATAAGGGCTATGATCATATATTCTTAAAGATGTTAAGGAGGTTTTGGTCATCAGCTTGGCTCAGAAAGCTTTGATTTGGTCTACCACTTAGATAAGAGAACAGATAAGGCCAGTGAAATGTGTGAGGCATGGAATTCATTCATAGTAGATCTGGATAAAGAACCCAGGTTCCTCAGCTCTGTTTAGAAGTTGACCCGTCTCTTTCCTGGCTAACTTGGGCGGTGCTCAGTGAACTGGAGGCCTGGGGGAGCCAAGTGAGTAAAGCTTTATACCTTTACCCCCACTTATTTGAGACACTTCATTCTGTTCCTATTTTTATTATATAGATTCTTATATAAATCTTTTCTTAACCAATAAACTCTGTGGCCAAAATGTTTCAAAGCCTTTTATTATAGACCAAAAAGATAAGCAAATCAAAATCCTGCCACCACCCCACCACTGTGAAGAAAAGGTATTTGGATGGGTCTTAGCCAGGCTAGTGTTCCTGTTTTCTTTTGTGAGAGAAGGGTCTCAGGCTGGGAGTATTAGGGATGTTAATATATAGAGAAAATAAAGAGTTTTGTATTAAAGCTTTATGATGTGTAAAATATATGAAAATTTGTAAGTCACTTGTCATTAGCAGAGACTTGGGAATGAGAGTAGCAGTGCCTTGTAGGCCTGGAAATGAAAGGTCTGGGTTTCTTGTTTCTGCTACTTCCCAGCTGAGTTAACTTGACAAGTGACTTCTCCACAATGGTCCCTGTTTCTACAACTGTAAAATAAAATGGCTTTGACCAAATAAGCCCAAATCGTTCTTAACCTTGGCCACATATTGGAGTCATCTGGGATGCTTTAAAAATACTGACGTGCTGGTGTGTGAGTCCCATACACTGAGTATCTGATGTAATTGGCCTGGTGCATAGCCTGGCCAGTAGGATTAAAAAAAAAAAAACCTTCCCTGGTGATTCTGATGTGCAGTCAAGGTTGAGAATAACTGTCTAGATATCAGTGGTTCTCGCAGTAGGATCCCACACCAACGATATCACCTGGGAACCTGAAAGAAATGCCAATTCTCAAGCACACTTCCAACCCACTGAATCAGACTCTGGGAGAGGGCTCAGCATCCATGTTTTAAAACCCACTTCAGGTAATTCTGAAGTACACTGATACTTAAAAAACCACTGAGCTGGAGGATTTACAAATTTCTCATTAAGATAGGGATTAATCAATTTTTAAGCTAGAGATAGGCCTATAAGTAGGAACACCTACTTGGAGAAGGGTGAAGAAGGTGAGGTAAGGAGACAAGAAGTTTATTCATAGACACAGCTAAAATTATGATCAGAATATTGGAAGAAGTTTTCTTTTTTTGTGCTTTATTGCTGTGTGCTTCTAGAAGAGAGAAATGATTGATTTAAAAAATGTATAGATTGTTCCTCAAAGTTCAAAGGAGTGTTATTTAAAGTAGCCAAGTGCTGGAAACAGCCTACGTGCCCATCAGTAAATGAATGGATCAAAAAACTATGGTACATTTATACAATGAAATACTATACAGCAGAAAGAAAGAAGGGACTCCCACCCTTCATGATGGCATGGCTGAAACTGCAAAGCATTATGCTAAGTGAAATAAGTGAAGTGGTGAAAGACAAATACCATATGATCTCATCTATAAGTGGAACCTAATCAACAAAACAAGCAAGCAAGCACAATATAACCAGAGACATTGAAATAAGGAACAGACAGATGGTAACCAGAGGGGGTGGGGATGAAGGAAAGAAGGGAAAGGGTCTAATCAAGGAACATGTATAAAGGACCCATGGACATGGACAACAGAGGGAATTGACTGAGGGAGTTGGGGGTGGGTGGTTCAGGGGAGAACAATGGGGGAGAAATTGGGACAACTGTAATTGAACAATAAAAATGTATAGATTGCTAAATGTTTTGAACTGCCTGATAAACATGTTTGTTCAGAAAAACTGGTCTTCTGAAAATGGCTGTCTTCCTTTCTAAAAAAAAGTGTGAGTAAGATTATGGAAGACAGGACTTGGATTGCTTTTGTCCCACCCAAGGAGAAGAGTTTAGTAAATACCAGAGTTCAAAGCTAACTCTCCAGCAGGTAGTGTCTAGAACAAATAGGCAAATGCAAGAACTACCTTTTCTGCTCAGCTTTTGGAGAAGCTATAGAAATATAATAACGAATCACAAGCACAAGGAGGACTCAGTCCTCTCTAAACTAGGTATTTTCTTTTTCTTACTCAGCCGGGGGCCATTGAGACTGCCATGGAAGACTTGAAAGATCACATAAGCAAGACTTCTGGAGAGAAAATTCAAGGCTTCTGGCTCTTGACAGTGTAAGTAGTTATGACTCAGTGAAGGGAAGTGAAATCTAGCATTTTCCTTGACACAACTACAACAGAATAGGAGATGGACCTTTGGGAGAATTTCTTTTGGTTGTTATGTAAGATAATTGATTGACATATCCAGTTAGAAAGTAAAGTTTCACAGTGCCCCATGGGTGATGGTGTGACCAGGTTTGATGCCCACAACCGTTACCCCAGATGGTTACTTCACTCAGCCATCACTCTGACCACCTTAGGGCAGGCCCTTACCACTGATCTCCAGGACTTCTGCATTAGCCTCCTAATTGAATTCTCTGGTTCCAATCTCTGCCTCTTACAAACACTCTCTCTTCAACCACATAAGGCTACTGCCCATCCCATTCTGGGTAAAATAGAGAGAAAGACTAGGAAACAAAATGAATGAGGTCGACATACACATTTTGAACTTTTGTGTACAATAACATGAGCAGCACAACCAGGGAAATCATGCAGCATAGAGAAGACAGGCCACATGTTCATTTAAGATTAAAAAAAAAAGCAAGGCTAAAACTTAGTCCCTATTACTTTAATAGCTGCTTCATTTACTCCCAAATTTATGTTATCTACCAGGGATTTCATTGCAAATGAAACTATGAAGGCAGTTACTTTTTTGTTCTTCTTTGAAACTTATGTCTGCATGACCTTTTCTTTACCTACAAAAAATATTAAGAATACCACCATGTTTACAATAAATAAAATATTCATATACTAAGGGAAAGAAGTACCTGTGTTCTGCTAAAGAATCTATACTATTAAATGGAAAATGAAATTAGAACTCCATTCCAGATGCTTAATTGGTTTGATGAGTTCTCTATCTTGGAAACGTGGTCACCAAAGACTCCAGCAGAAGAGCTCAGTGATTCCGGTTCACGGAGAGAAGTGGGTCTGACCCCGCAGCCTGTCACACTGGCTCGTGAGAGGTGAATGGTACAACTCCACAGATTTTGAGAGTCAGTTGTTCATGATTAAAATTAAATATATAAAATTTCTAACCAAATAAATAAGTATAAAACAAAGATAATACATTAAGAAAGGCATCACTTTCTGATTATTTTACTTCATTTTTCTGTTATGTGCATTCTTGGGGTTACTTGTGCTAGAACATTTGTGTGGTGGAAATACTATATGATAGTATGCTAACACATGTCTCTTTCCTAACTGCAAATTCGGTGATGCCATGTTGGCAGCTTGGAATTAACTGTGGTGGCAGTGATTACACTATGAAAACCAGCAAATACCAGAGATCAGAGCTTGTTTTATTGTTTTGGACTTCTTTCTGCTCTGTGTAGCATTCTGTATTGCAAAATCATAGTATAGCATACAGTTTAAAAGAGACATGCTTAAAAATTTGTTGTTTATCATAATGCACATAATGCATTCATTTATTGATTGATTGTGGAGAGAAAGGAAAAAAGAGAGAGAAATATTGATTTGTTGTTACATTTATTTATTCATTCATTGGTTGATTCTCATATGTGCCCTGACTGGGGATCAAACTCTCAACTTTGGCATTTTGGAATAACACTGTAATCAACTGAGCTACCTGGCCAGGGCAAACTAATGGGAACATTTAGAACCAAGAGGCAATATATTGATAGCTGACATAACTGGGCTTGGTGGACTTTTGAGTTTAATTCTCTATGAGAAAGGAGTCCAGGATAACTCTTGGGCTTAGTCCTAGGGATCTAATGGGTTGACTGGGACACCATTTGGGTATAACTCTACTTTATTGAGAAACTACTATATGTCAAACATTGTAAAAGGAACTCGATGCACACTATTTCACTTTATCCTCCCAATAGTCTTGTCATTCACTTTTTACAGAACTTGTTGAGTACAATTTTGGCAAAAATGTGTCTGAGGTGTCCTTTAGACTGTCCACAAAGAAATGTTGGATAGAGTGTTTTACATATGGGCCCAGATGCTATCTTTATAGATAGTTTTTCAAAAAGGAGAGGAATCCTTACATGTGTGTTTCTTATACTCATGCCTTCTATAGAAGCTTAAATAACATTAAGTTACTAAGGCATTTTTTTTGCAAGGAATGTCACCTGAATTAGTTCAGGTGAGCTGCTTTGTGATAGTGTAAATTGATACGGATGCATTATTCAGTAAAATTAGCAAAATGAGTTTGAAAGCACTTGGGCAGAGGGCCTGGGGAGGATGCATGTTGAGCCCAAAAGGGAAAACAGAGAGATGCAACCGTCAACTCCAGCTGGTTCCCAGGTAGCTGACAGCAGTAAGCTTAGTCTAAAGAGATTCCAGATTCCTAACTGGAAATTAGTCCAGACAGTCAGAACAATTCCTAGCTGGAATCTCTTTAGAGTAAGCTCACTGGCATCAGCTAGCTGGGACCTAGCTGAGAAGTGGATAAACTGAGAATTCTGAGGCCCCATCCTAGCTCATCCAGGAGCTTTACTTGTTTCAACAGCTACACAGGCAAGATTATGTTTATCTCAATTTTGCCTTCTCTTCTCACTGTCTTTCCCTTCTGGGAAAGGACTTTTTGAAGAAATTGTGTGTACCCTTTTAGAAGTGATCCATTAAATCAGAACCACAGAGAACATCTTGACACTCTATGGAGTCTCAAAACGTATGATATGATGGTGATGAAGTGGCTCCTCGGCACTCAAGATGCTTTTGTCTGCGCGGTTCAGGAGGCAGGAGGAGAGAGGATCTTCCCTCCAGGCACGTTAGTGTGAAGTGGGGATGGGGCTCATTGTGCTTATTCCTCTATCCATAAACAAGAATATTAGCCTCTAGTGACTGGGATCAAGTAACTCTAGCTCTTCATTGTAGAAAATACTTACATATTTCATTGTGTACCTTCCCTGAAACCCATGTCGATTTCTATCTGAGGACTCTGGTATAATAAATACATGAACTTGAATTAACTGTCTACATCAAACATACAGATGGGAGAATAAAAGTGAAGTCAATGAGGCAGCCTGGTGTTGTACAAAGAATCCTGAATCTGAAATCAGAAGACTTGGATTTGAATCCTTGCTCTGCTTCTTACTATTGGTGCAGCTGGGTGAATTCAACTAGGCTTTGTCTTTTCCTTGTTAATTAGTGAATTTGTTTAAATATGTTCTTCGGGTCACTAAAATTTGCTGTTCTTGAAAGAAACACTGCCACTGTTAATTTCTGGCATTTATCATTGCAGTTTTTCCCCCATGCATATTTACCAAATATTGTTATAATAGATAACATTTATTGAGCACTTACATTGTACCAAGTACAATATTGTAGTAAGTCTTTCTGTGCATTTGCCATCATATCAGTATAACACATGTAAATATGATAATCTCTAAATGGCACTTCTCAGGTTTTCCCTTGCATTATTACCGGTTATCATGTAGTTTTTGTAAAAATGACATAATCATTCACCTATTATTGAACAATTACTTCCCTGGTTGTCAGTGACTACACACATTTAAGGGTTTATATTACTTTTTAAAAATTGAACACAAAGTAAGAAATGTTTACAAGTGGGTCAGAATAAAACTACATTATTAGAAAGAGAGATAAAATATGTAAGGCATTCCCCATTTATTTTAGATAAAATAACATTTCTATATGACTTCACAGTTTAAAAGTGCTCTTCTTCATTTAAGTCAATCTTCATAGCAATCGTCTGAGGCAGGACACGTTACTAACAATTTACATGTGAGGAAATCAAGGCTCAGAAGAGTAGCCAGCTCTGAAGTAGCAAAGGGAGGCCTCTGATGCCCTATGCTGGCCTGCCTTTTGTTAAAATAACCCTTTAGCTATTTTGCAAAGATTCCATGTGTGCCTCTTATTAAATTGTAGCATGTGGTTCCTCTGACAGAAACATGTTGGATAAACTGAGAATTCCATTTCTTGGGCTTGGTGGGGTATTTGGCAGTATGTAGAGCATCTCTTCCTAATTTAGGAAGATTCCCCAGAAGAATGTTCTAGCCTAGATGTTTAAATAAGAAGAAAGGCATCTTGGCAGACAAAGGGATGTTGAGGAACAGGTGACTGGAAACTATTTTCCAGGCACTGGGTGCCTCTTTGGAGTACACTGATCTCCAAAGCAGCACTACATGTGATTGCTTTTACACATGCTCTTGTATCTGATCCTCAAGCGGACCCACAGGAAAAAGCAGGCAGGGACTATTGGCTTCATTTTATGGATGAAGAAACCCAGAGATTAAATGACCTATCTAAGGGCAATCACTTCATCAGGGTCACAGCAGGGTCATGAGACCTCCCATTCAGTCTCGCTGTCCTTCCCTAGCACTGTTCTTGCTGCTTTTTGTGATTGTTCATCCCCCAACACAGTAATCACCATAGCTTGAAGTGGTTAAATGGCCTTTGTACTTGAGTCTGGTCTCTTTGTTGATTGTTTATTGTTTGCAGGGAGGAGGGTCAGAAATTCACTGGGCAGGTTCAGAGACCTTTTCCTCTTTTCCTTTCCAGATCATGCTCTGCCTTTTGCTGTTCATTTGACTTTCTTCAGTCTTTTTCCCAGAGTTAACTAAAAAGTCAAATTCTGGTAGGGAATGGTAGGTGTCACTAATGGGTAAGGCCAATCACATTTTATGTTGTCCCAGTCTAGTTCTGTTATACAGCAGGCTGATAATTATTATAATGAAACATATTGCTACTTATAATTAAAACATTTAAAGACTTGGAAATCAGGGATTTCTCATCCCTTTAGCTATAAATAATAAACGTACTATGAAAATTAAGTTCACAATCTAAAATTTATCTCTTACCCACTTCCATTATGTTTGTGTGCTTCCATTTATGTATTGCAGATGCTTGTGACTCCAAATGTGGTTTTGGAATCAGCACCACTTAGGAACTTGTTAGCAATACTGACCCTTGGGACCTATCCTAGACATACTGAATCTGAATCTGCATTTTCACAGAACCCCCAGTTGATTCCTATGTGCACTAAAACTTGAGAAGTACTTGTCCAGACCAAGCTCATACTGTGGCGT